AAAAGCCCTAAATATAAAAACCGGAAGAATTCTATTTACAAGATCACAACATGTAATAATGATATTTTCATTACACTAGACAGCCCAAATAGTAATTGGTTGTTTCTGTCTAGCTTCGTTTGATATTGTTACATAAAAAAAACCATCAACTTAATCATTAATACTGATCTTAATAAAGAAGCTAATGGACTTGGTAGATATTTTTATGAGTTATATCGAAAATACGAGGCTCAAACAAGCGATTAATGAAATGACGGTATGCTACATATATGTTGACGACACCTTTACTGTCTGCAATCGTAGAAAGCATGAAATCCATCTGTTAAAGCTCTTCAACAATGCTCATCGGTACATACAATATACCATAGAATACAAAAAGAATGATATGTTCTATTTTCTTGATATTGCCTTATCACGAGGACAGATGGAACAGTTCTACGTTCACTTTGTCGGAAAAGTACTTTGAATGGTCAGTACCTGAATTTCAACAAATTTTGTCCAGTCAGTTACAGGAAAGATTATTTTTATTTATAGAATAGAAATGGTATGTACCTCTGACAAACTGGAAGAACTGATGAACTTTGAAAAATGCCTAAGAGATAACTGCTACCCACAGAACTTTAATGACAAATTTAAAAAATCTACAGAAAAGAAGTCAGGTATATCTGGAGTCAACAAATAACCACTATTTTTAAATCTCAACTTCGAAGGTGATGATGTTACAAGTACAATCAACAGAAGATTTAAAACTGCATTAGCCACGACTAACTCAGTAGCAAAACTGTTAATACTGTTTAAAACAAAATGACCAATAAGCCAATCAAAGGTTGACAAGCCAACCTTAAATGTTACCGCCAACTCTATCTATAAATTTACCTGTATCTGCCAAAGCAGCTACATTGGCTAAACAAAAAGGAGAGCATACCTTAGATTTTTCGAACATGTTCCTAATAGCATTAGAACATAAGAAAAGAATTTTCATGATAGAATTATAGAGATTCTTGTTTGATATTGAAATTGTGAATCAGTTGTTGTTAGACCACCATTAGAAATTTGGAAGCACTGGATGCTGTCCCGTTGTAGTATAGGACTCTTCGGCAGTGCGCATCCACGACCCATGCTCGCGAAAATCGACTGATCTAAGTTAGAAATTAACACCGTTGGATGCTGGCTCAGTGGTCTAGAGGTTAGGCATTCGCATACAAGACTGGAGCCCCTGGGTTCGGTCTCCATGAGTGAGGTTATGTGTGCGCACTTCTGAAGTGTCTCATGATGGGACGAAACGGCGTCCAGTGTTTCCAGGTTTCTAATGGTGTTCTAACGAATATTGATTCACGATATCAGCGTAAGAAACGACTTGCTTTACTTTGCTCATTTTATTCTTACTTACTACCAGTGTTCGTTGAGTAACCACTTGGTTCTAGAGCTTTGAATTTTTGTTATTGTCAATGTTGTAGAATGTTCTTCTGTATGAGGTTTATGTTGACAATATTTTTTTCAGTCAATTAAAACCATTTACGACCTTGCTATACTGATGTACGGTTATAACAACTCCCAACTACTCTTTCATGTTAGTTATTTAAATCCAATTAGCAATTATGATTTTAAGCATTACAGGTTACAAACAGTTGACAAGAACCAAAGAAATTATATGAATTCATCTTATTCTTCTCAAAACTTCGTTCTTGCTTTCTTCATTATTTTATTTAAGCACATAGTTAACGGTACAAAGGGTCACCTAAATATTTATGCGCCACATAAATCAATGAATTTGTGTGTGGGCCGAGATATAACGCGGGTGCCAAAACCGAAACAGGTATACTAAATATAACTTAGATCTGCCTTATTTTTTACTTTTGGTTTGAGTGAGTTTGACGATTCTAGATCAGACAGATGCTACGGAAAGAACATTGTAAAACCCTAAATATATGTGACATCTCAGGTGCGTAACGTAATAGAAAGAGAAAACATACTGACTATATTTAAGTGCTGAGCATAACATAATAATTCGTGATGACTAAAAAGTAAGTTAATAGAATACTAGGATGATTTAGTTGGGCAAACTGTTAGCCTCCCCATGATTTCACGTGAACGGGATGAGACTATAATTAATGGATGACCTTTTGTTGACATCAAACTGGCCTTGAGAAACTCCAACTAGAGTCGAAACGGGTTTATAAATTAGTGTGAGAATTCAGGGTCAAGGGTTTTAATCATAAACTTACATCATGTGGATGAATGGATTTTGCGGCAAACTTCGAATCTGTTTTAATTTTGATTGGTCCGACCATGAATTATGGACTCACCAGTGCAACTTATTAGACAAATTAAAGGACGCAGTGAAGTTCACAAACCAAACCAGTGAAACTCCCCTTCTATCAGTCATATTACAAAGGAAATGAGATTGAAATCAATCCAGTAGTTAGATTTATTTATTCACATGATAAACCATCCCACTAGTAATGCAGAGATGTCTTCGTCCAATTTTTTGACAACTCAAATTTCCTATCGTGTTGAGTTTTTTCACAGTACAAATGAATTAAATACTTCGTTCACCCGATACAGTTGAAGCATCTCATCAAGTAATTGTTAACTTTCTGTAGTATATATAATAATGAATTGTTAGATACAATCAATAAAGTGGTTGTAAATGCTACGGCTGGAAAATAAAATCTATTTGAAAAAGCTTGCTGTTAACTAACATATAGGATTGGTAGTACAAAAATATGTCCATGATGCTGATAAAGACTTTAATACGGTAGACCTTAAAATCTGATATTAGATGCCATTTTCGGCTAAAAAGGAACAAGTTCGTACTTCAGTAATTTTCAAAACGTCCCGCTTATAAGAACTAGGTTTCTACAGACTCCTTACAACCGGTTGAGGTACGTCAGTCTACTTTGGACAACCATAAGTTTGATGATAAACAAAGATTGTTACATAGTCAAGTAGTACAAAATTCTCCTGAGGACTGAGAAGCCTGGTGATCGGTGTGCTTACGTGTTGGAAACAGTAGCTGATAGGAGCTTCTTCAACTCATCTGAGTCACTGGCAGCAAATGTGGTGTGAATGAAACAATCTGTGAGATTGATGAGACAGCAATCAATATCATATACCGATGTCTTTGAACAATTTAGCTGCTCCAGACTGTTTTATGCCGCGTGACCAGCAGCGACAACGAAGAGGCAGAAGTGAATTGAACTGAAAGTACTTTAACTCATAATTTACCTTTGTAGCAGACTCGTATTGTTATTGGGTCTAGGCATAATTTGAAACTCACTCTTTCATTGCATGATACATATTTCTATTGATCTCAAGCAGTTTAAGAACCTAATATTGCCTACTTTTACTTCATTAACAATAACACAAGTTATCTATCGCCAAAGCTCGCGCGAAATACATGAAGCGATGTGTTGATTCTTATTAGAACCATAAGTATATCATTATTTCACCAATCTAAACATAATCGGACTTGAAAGAGCAGTGTTCGCATACCCAAAGCTTACTATGGAGAGCAATATTATTTGGAAGAAAGCAGTGGAGGTTAAACCAGCACGTGTTATATGCTCATGAAGTTCTTGAATGTTGGGTTGAGCCGCACAGGTGTTCAAACTACATTTTTGTGTTCCTTACGGTTATTATAACACGTAGCTGGATACGTTGAGTAACATGGGTTAGAATCCATAGAAATATCCTAAATTTATTAACTATTCCTCCAAAACATGACTCCTGATATCACTTCATATGTTTTCTTTCTAACTTTTCTTTTCTACTACCAATAGCATTGATACTACTTTTGCTATACTGGGATATGCGTTAGAAATTTCGTCTACCTCTGGTAATGTGATTGGTATGACAACATGAACCAGTGAACGTACATGACGATTGACGAAAAGCGAACCGCACACTTGAACCAAGTATATAAAGAAATAGTTTTCCTTCGGAATTCTTTACGAACTCAAAATATAAACTACAAACCCGACCGTAGATGCTACCTTGAGGTGGTGGTCCACGTTAACTATCGAGATGACCCAACCGAGCTATAATGGTTGGAACATGTTACTGCAGGTCCTACCATGCCAGGCAGGTCGATTGGAGAACGGTGTGACTATAAACTGCAACTCAAGGTCTGAGGGCGAAAACTTACTGCTGAGTAAAGAAGGGTGTGACAGTGGTCAGAATTTTCCGTCGGGCAACCAGAATCTACAGCGATGCTGCCTTCTCACAAATAAGGATGAGGTTTGCAAAGGTCGACCGTAAGAATGTCACACCACACCTTATATCACGGATCCATGTTTGCGGTGGTAAGGCCTTTCAAAAACAGCGGAGCCAACACTACAAACTCCTCATAAAAAGGCTGTGCGTGACCGGCCTCACCCAGTCGTCCCCCGGGGTTCTACGATCAGGCTCACAGGCCGTTAAGACCAACATTAATCTACCTACATTTTCAGGTACCATTCCACGGTATAGGCAGCTGGGACATCCGACCTCATACTCGTACCAGCACATTTTAGGTGTATTTCAATGACTTATACTCCTAACAGTTTCTCTGGGACTCCAATCTTCTCCATTACTCTTAATATTTCTACTACCTTTACTACTGTGGGATTTGGATTGACGATGGTTTCTTTGTGCTAATGTGGTATAAAAACCTGAACTGATATTCGTACTTACATAGGGAGTTCAGCGTTGTAAGTAACTGACTGAAATAATAGTTTTACACTCTACGTCGGCGATAAGGTGGCCCAATTATTGTTCACGAGCAAATGAAGTCAATTAGCATTATCGTTATAAAACGAAAATGAGACCAGCAACAGTACATGTTGCCATAATAACTGAGGTTCATCACCTCTCTTGGTATAAGTCTGGTAAGTGTAAAGCGAATCAAGAAAATGAATACCAAGTAGGTTCATCGGTAGCGATGAAGGTATAATTTTAGCGCACTGCTGAAACATACTTGTAGTTAGTGTAGTAAAATGTCGACTAGAGTGAGAACAAAGTTTTGTAGCAAAGGCATAGATTCAATATTGATAAAGCTTAATACCCCTAGCTCAGGCAAAGTAGTGATCATCCTTTAATTCGAAATTTCAAAAAATATGTAAAACTAATTTACGAATACATGCAAGCTAATAACAACAATGCATAAGGATTTTCAAAATGTTTAGGTATCAAAGATTTTTACAGACGTACAATACTCGATTGAATATGAGAAAGGAAAGTGGCACATAAGTCATAATAATCCACTGAACAATATTTATCTTAACATGAAAAATAGCAATCTAAGCAAATACATAAATATCAATGCTATGTTCAACTTTAAATCGAATTAGATAAAACCCTACAAACGAGAAATAAGTCCAGAACGGGAAAGAAGCAAAGGGTAATACATGGTCATTATTTATTAGTGTATCAATCAAATACATCATTAACACGATGCATCATATCGTATGTGAAGTTAATTAAAAGTGATTTGTCTTGTAATAATCGCAAATAAGGCCCATAGCAACATTCCCTGCATTGCAATAATTTACTTTATCGTCGACAGTCTGTCCAACCAAGCAAACTGAAAATAAAATGTTTAGAACAATGCATTAGTAATCACCGTATAAATGCATTCGAGAAGTATGCAGCATGAAGTCAGAGTAGGACGGTACTTCTGATGTGCAATACTTGAGTTGTTTAGTAAGACTAAACAAAAAATTTACTGTAATATCCCTCACAAAATAGGTGCAGGATACAGCCAATTTACAAACCTGTAACAACTTTGATTTTGATTGAGAACGAACGCAGATCGAATGAACACTGAAGAGAGAGGGCTGAATAGACAATAATCACGGAACCAATTCCTGTTGGTTTTATCCACTTTGACTATTTGAGTCCTCAAACCGCAACTGAATGAACATCAAAAGACAGAACCGCTGGCCAACTGACTGAATTATTTGAGTAAATAAAACAGTCACTTATATGCAAATATTGTAAAATAATATATAAATGAATAAAATATTTTGTATGGACAATTGATTGTAGAGCATATATTACTGGACAGCGATCAGGTGAGCTAAGTAAATCAATTGCAGATAACGTTCACCACACTTATGTCGAAACTAAGGGTTGTTCTTGACTGTCGTTACCTCATAACCTAAAGACAAAGGTTGTCTCACTGAATCGAAAAAATGGATCTATGTCAATTTTGCATGGTTGGTGGGAATAACATAACGGTCATGTCAAGCAGCACAACTAACAACAAACATGTTTCGATGGAAAACAATCTTAAAACTTTGAATGACACCTCTGTTTTCCTGAATCATTCCACACCAACCACATTTCAAAACTGGTTTAGATAGATCATTTAAAGTGACTGGACACCAACATTATTATTTCCGAACTGGGAGTTGACCACTCAGTCTAGTAAATCTGCAGTTCAAACTAAGGAATGTCATTTGTGCTCTACTGACTGGGTTTTAAAATAGAATGGAATACATGAGTGTCCATAATTATCGTTAAGACAATAAGCAAGGACTTTCAAGACTACAGAATAGGAGTGGGTTTCAAAGCCATGTTACCCTGAGGATATTAATTTCCTGTAGTCATGTTTAGAATTACATGGAAACCAATCAACAAGATTACAACGAAGAATTCTGCTCCTGTGACAATTTACGGGTGTAAGGATCTCAGATTAGCAAACAGTATATTTGTTCTTCAGTCTGTTACAATGTTCAGCTCCTTGCTCAAATGTTGAACAAGGACATTTCCTTATGGTTGCTTAATTACATGTGGTTGATTTACCTGTACCATGTTAATTTCAACCATAAAATTTCATACACGAAAGGACATTGTGGCCCCATTTACTCATTGAAGGTGAAATTTGGTAGAACCAATTAGTTACTACAGTTTATATTCAGAAACTGGCTCAGCTTCAAAGGTTTTGAAATCAAGAACTATCATTAATCGTCAAGCTGTGTGACTCTAATATGTCAACCAATGGCTGGCTAATGATATATTTCTTTGAGCCATCTTTACTGTTTGATAAGGGTGATTATTAAATTGCCTTTTTGGATAGCTAGGAAACACCTGCAAATGTAAACTATGTATACAATGATCAAAATAATAAAGAATGGAAATATGTAAAGAAAGTAGAACTAACGTTTTTGTGTTGTATGGAACAGAAGTGATTTCCCGCTACATCGACTGATAAAATAAGTAGGTTCGCGAATGATGATGAAGTATTTCTCATTTTTGAATGTAAAAGAGGTGTCCTTGTCATCACTGAGCAGTGATTTGAGCTGAAGCACCAACTCAGGAGTTAGCTATAGAACAAGAGTCGGGAAACAAATTTTTGTTAGCACACGGATACTAAGGTACGGTTAATAACACACGATATAGAAACACATACGCACTAGAAACATTACCTCATGATAACGGACAAACTGGACTGTAATGAAGAATCCCCAGTCACTCATTGAACCACGCAATACCTATGAGCCATCTGCATTAGTCTCTTCTACAGATCGCAATTGCCATGCGATTAAGGTTCCGAGTATTTACGGTCGAGTACGTTTATTATACATAGCATGTATTTATCTCGATAAGTAGATATACAGCAGTATGGATAAAAATAGAACGAATTGTAGACAGTAATTGGAAAAATCCCTGATATGAATTTTTCTGTTGTTTATTAGTACAGCGCTTTTTCGAGCCGCAGACAATCATCTGCGACTTTTATTGTCTCGTCATATCTTACTGGTGTGAACGTTCGACTCTGTTCAGTCAGATCGTAACGGGAAAAATGTCAGTGAATGTTTGTTGAGTATATATACTTTTGCACAATTACACGGTGTTTGACAGAAGACAAGTTCACGGATTCTATTCGCAATTACTTAGCTAAAGATGACTGGACAAATTATGCAAATAGAAACCCCGGGATCTTTCACTAAGTAAGGAACTAACGACTAATTAATCACTTTTTAACCGAAAAATAAAGGATCTAGATAGACTGCTAAAGTGGCTGATTTTGAGGTGACCACAAGGATTGTTAGTCGCCTAGACCAGATCTCATGACTACATTCTTAATATACGTAATGCGAATACTCGTAGACATGTATACACAACCTGGTCCTCTACTAAGTGATAACGTGTCAAACATTGTAAGCGCACAGAACCATTACTTTGATTACTGCCCAGTAAACACCTCAGTGAGAAGTATCTTAGGGCGAACTAATACGTCTGTCTCAATTCTGAGGGTGAAATCCACCATATGCTCGCTTCCCTTCCATATGTCGGAATGACGTTCTACAATCAAGGTTGGGGTACAGAGAAAACCCCACAGCTAGAACATTGGTGAATTGTCCGGATAACACCGGTGAATGTGGACCTATCTAAGGAACAAATGAGGTGTAAGCACGAATTAGATTCCGACGTCATACAGAAAGTGTTACAATCGACCAACAGTCGTCAAGGAAAAATGATTCCTTTCCGAGTGCTTTAATAACGTGTGGACACCGACAAAGAGGACTTACTTGAAAGTCGGGACTAGATGAGCCGTAAGGAGTTCCCTTATCATCCGCTATGTAGAGATTTTTTAGGCTATTGTGTCGCTGCACATGATCTACACATTGACTATTCCACTGCTCGGACATGGTTAAGCTGAAATAAATGGAAATTAGCCGGTCAGAAACGACGTCTCTTAACAGATAGTCACGTATCTGTAGCTAGAACTTTTTCTAAAATGTATATAGTAAGGTTGTACTTCGCCCACACATTAATTTATCAAATCAACATTATCGTTTTTTATCTGTGGCCCTTACGCTAAACTGATTGGTTTATAATTATCTGAACAGACAGGCCAGAGATTTGACCAATTATTACCAAGTTCAACTGTAGACCTTATTGTAGACACACCTAGTTGACGTGTGATGGTCTAACTGCTATTGATAGCCAAGAGTCCTAACACTAGATGAAACGTGTTGGTACCGCGCGTATTGACGGTAGAGGCATCTGGTATAACGCCACACTGAAGTATTCCGACCTCTTATTTTGCGATCTAGAAACGGGGTCTGAATTTATTATTTCTTCTTTGCTTGTCATGTATTTCATTCAAATGTGTTTGGAGAAATAGTTTCTTCACTAGTTAAGAAGAGATTTAATGAGAATATTCCCAAGATTTCTTTGGTAGATTTATTACTTATAGAATAAGTTTACAACAGCCGATAAGGTATCATTCGACGATGTCACGGGTACCAAGAGCTTGACAGCACTTGCAGATTGAGAATACCCCGAAGCCAAGTCAAACCGGCAGTCAGGAATGAAGAAGATCGAAGGTATATTTGAACGATGGTTGAGATATCGAGAAACCTGGAAAACATGGTATAGGTGCGTAAATGTACCGTATGTCAGCGGAAAAAATATCACAAGAAGTTTTAGATTTTAAAATACCAAACCTGTTTTATTCTAATACATAAAATGTGAGCACCTGAGAAATTCTTGTTTTTCACACAATAAAAATTAAAAATGCCAATGGAGTTTTAGAACACTAGAAAGAAGATAAAGACGAGATGAGTTCTTAATATGTTCTACACTCTAACTACTATGAGAGAGAAGAATTTAAATTCCGACAGACGAAAACAGGAGAAAGCACTGAAGGTGGAAAGGTATAACAATAATATCTTATCAGTTGCTTAGAATAACTAAGTTGATAAAGTAGACCATCAGCAACAACCTACTGTGGGAAAGAACAAACTGGATTTTAGAGGAGGAAGAATCGCTGGGATTGGATGGGACACATTGAGGAAAGCATCCAGCTGTCACAAGACATGCGCCCACTTGGGATTCTTAACGTCATAGGAAAAGAAGACCAGAGAACACACTACCCCTAGTGTTCGAAGCACTCATGGGAAAAATGGACAGTAATTGGATTGAACTATAAAAGAAGGCTCAGGACAGAGTAGGTTGGGAAATGCTGGTCAGTGTCCTATGCTCCACTGGGGTAACAGGCGCAAGTAAGTAAGAGTAATCGTTTGAACGTTTCAGGAATCTCACGGATCTTTCAGAGCGCATCGTTTCAGGTCACTTGTCTGTTACCAACGAAGCTTCGTTTTGGTCGTTACCTATCTGAGATTGCATCGTAGTCTTGTGGGACGTGTCTCATTTTTGTGTTAGAGAAGTGGTTGTCGTCTAAATAGATGGCTTACAGTCCCATTCCTATTAGTGGTATGTTACTTAGGCTCGCGAAAAAAAATTTTACGGAGTCCTCAGTACGCAGTTTCCGGTGGTTCACGTAGAGTCACGATGTAGGGGACGTGTGTGCTGGGACGTATAGCAGTTTAGATGTAAACATCAGCCGAATGTTGTCGAGTAGAAACAGGTTTAATTGAACGCATTGTCTGTGTAATATTGCTTGCGTGGAAGTGTAGATATACCTTCGTTGAGGTACATGAGGTTAGAATTTGCGGAAACACAAAGATTGGATGCACCTGCGCCACTGCAAACTATTCCGAGCCATGTCGTTCAAGGTCTTTAGCCACTGGTGACTTTCTTCTCGCGCACCCCAACCAGATAGCCTGCTCCTATCAACATAACTTAGTCCACTCGTCAGTGACTTCATGGATTTGTGCCATGTTTTAGTTCGGCCGCCGCCAGCTTTCTTCAAACCAACACCTACACCACAAACTGTCGCTCGTCGTGGCAGTCGGTGGTTAGGCATTCGTAACACATGTCCCAACCACAGCCAATGGAGTTTCGATGCTTCATCTATTGATTTGCCATCCCTAACGACAGCATTGCTTACTCGGTTGTCTCAGGATATACGAGCAATGCTTCGAAGACATCTATGATCGAATAATAATAACCTACTCTCAATGGCCACGTTTCGCAGCCATGATGTTGGACAGAGCGAACTCCTGCGCAGTACACTCGTCCTTTAGTCAACAAACGGATATCTCGCCCACGCAATAGGTGACGGAAGTTGGAATAATTTGATTGTGACAAATTTGGTCTCTTGTGCTGTTACAAGTATGAGGTCGAATGTCACTTCCCGGTTGCCCATACAGTGGGTGTTGCTTCAGGAACCTGAAAAGGAAGGTAGATTAGAGCCGGTCTTAGAGACCTGGGTGCGTGACCGCAGAGCCCAGGGGACAACTGCTTGAGGCCGGTCACGTGCGACCTTTTTACGAAAGTTTCATTAATATTAGCTCCGCTCTTTTTAAAGCCCTCAGTGGGCAGCCCTTCGTACACGTAACCCCGTAATATCTCTCTTATCTCTACGCTTGTGCTCTGTCAGTCTAGACAGGACAGTAAGGACTCAGAAAGATAAGGACACTTGCCGTTGTCTCTTCGTCGTACTTGCCTATGCCCCCACTGACTGCAGTTCAGATGAGGTTAAAAATGAGTTTTACAGGAAGCTATCGGACCTCCTCCAAAAAGCTAGGCGCTCCGATATAGTAATAATGGCTGGTGACTTCAGTGCTCAGGTAGGTAGACTAGGTGAGCAGGAAAGGCACCTTGGTGGATGTTATGGTGTCGCGGCTCAGAGAACAGACAATGGTGACTGTCTGTTGCAACTATACTCAGATAACCGCCTATTTCTAGCAAACACTAACTTTAGACATAAGGAAAAACATCTGCTGAATTGGCGACCCGCTAAGTCGACCCAACTAGATCACATCCCCATCAGCCACCGATGGTGAGGTTCGATAGAGGACTGTCGGTCGTTCTGGGGCACGTGTTTACATCCAGATCATGCCCTAGTGCGAGCTCTTATTTGTTTGAGGCTTACTGGACGTAAGAAAGACACCGTGAGGAAGCCTCTTAGGGTTCTACTTAATGACAATAAAGCTAGGAATATATTCCAGGAGCAACTAGAAACAGAGTTAAGCAAACATTTAAGCCATTCCCATTCAGAGGCAGCTTGGAAAAATGCTGTGAAAACAGCAGTGATATCTGCTAGTAAGGTAAACCATGAGGTTAGGAAGAAGACGTGGATCTCAGTAGCATCCACCGAACTGATGGATGCTCGAAAACTCAGACCACCAGGGTCTGAGTGCGATGAGGAGCGGAGTCAGCTTAGATGTAGGCTGACAAAATGCTCTACTCAATGATCGAGAACAGTGGTGGGTGGAGAAAGCGAGAGAGATGGGAAAGGCAGCGGCTATAGGCAACTACTTAGACTCATCATCAAGGAAACTGGTATTACGAACCTGAATGTGAGTGAGACTATTTCTTGATTTCAAAACCTTTGAAGCTGAGCCAGTTTCTGAATATAAACTGTAGTAACTAATTGGTTCTACCAAATTTCACCTTCAATGAGTAAATGGGGCCACAATGTCCTTTCGTGTATGAAATTTTATGGTTGAAATTAACATGGTACAGGTAAATCAACCACATGTAATTAAGCAACCATAAGGAAATGTCCTTGTTCAACATTTGAGCAAGGAGCTGAACATTGTAACAGACTGAAGAACAAATATACTGTTTGCTAATCTGAGATCCTTACACCCGTAAATTGTCACAGGAGCAGAATTCTTCGTTGTAATCTTGTTGATTGGTTTCCATGTAATTCTAAACATGACTACAGGAAATTAATATCCTCAGGGTAACATGGCTTTGAAACCCACTCCTATTCTGTAGTCTTGAAAGTCCTTGCTTATTGTCTTAACGATAATTATGGACACTCATGTATTCCATTCTATTTTAAAACCCAGTCAGTAGAGCACAAATGACATTCCTTAGTTTGAACTGCAGATTTACTAGACTGAGTGGTCAACTCCCAGTTCGGAAATAATAATGTTGGTGTCCAGTCACTTTAAATGATCTATCTAAACCAGTTTTGAAATGTGGTTGGTGTGGAATGATTCAGGAAAACAGAGGTGTCATTCAAAGTTTTAAGATTGTTTTCCATCGAAACATGTTTGTTGTTAGTTGTGCTGCTTGACATGACCGTTATGTTATTCCCACCAACCATGCAAAATTGACATAGATCCATTTTTTCGATTCAGTGAGACAACCTTTGTCTTTAGGTTATGAGGTAACGACAGTCAAGAACAACCCTTAGTTTCGACATAAGTGTGGTGAACGTTATCTGCAATTGATTTACTTAGCTCACCTGATCGCTGTCCAGTAATATATGCTCTACAATCAATTGTCCATACAAAATATTTTATTCATTTATATATTATTTTACAATATTTGCATATAAGTGACTGTTTTATTTACTCAAATAATTCAGTCAGTTGGCCAGCGGTTCTGTCTTTTGATGTTCATTCAGTTGCGGTTTGAGGACTCAAATAGTCAAAGTGGATAAAACCAACAGGAATTGGTTCCGTGATTATTGTCTATTCAGCCCTCTCTCTTCAGTGTTCATTCGATCTGCGTTCGTTCTCAATCAAAATCAAAGTTGTTACAGGTTTGTAAATTGGCTGTATCCTGCACCTATTTTGTGAGGGATATTACAGTAAATTTTTTGTTTAGTCTTACTAAACAACTCAAGTATTGCACATCAGAAGTACCGTCCTACTCTGACTTCATGCTGCATACTTCTCGAATGCATTTATACGGTGATTACTAATGCATTGTTCTAAACATTTTATTTTCAGTTTGCTTGGTTGGACAGACTGTCGACGATAAAGTAAATTATTGCAATGCAGGGAATGTTGCTATGGGCCTTATTTGCGATTATTACAAGACAAATCACTTTTAATTAACTTCACATACGATATGATGCATCGTGTTAATGATGTATTTGATTGATACACTAATAAATAATGACCATGTATTACC